GACCTATAAAGAGAGCAGCCTGGGGAACACGGGCGTATGGACAAGAGAGGCGTAAGGAAAAGATTTAGTGACGTGAAAACAAATTATACTGTAGCAGAGCTACAGAGAACCTTATATTTACCCAGATATGCAGCTTATCTGTACCTCTGTGTAGTATACTTATGGAACTTTGGTAAAACAATAAAAGATATAGTAATGTTTTTGCAGACCAAGGATAATACAACTTAGTTTTAGAAATAGCTATGCTGTACTCCAACAAATTCTGCTCCTGAACTCCGTCAGCTAATTTCAGGCGTGTGTACTGAGGTTAAAAATCTGGAGAACTGTAAACGAGTGATATGTAGATGGTAAATACATACCCAGTGGGTGACACCAGGATGTTCTGTAAACCCACAGAGTGGATATAGGAATAAAGCATTTCTATGAAAAATAAATGCATCATTCATGCCTGAATATCTACATACTAGAAATCATGGTGTCAGTTACCTTAAACAACAGAAGAGCAACTTCTGATTCAAGCCTAACATTCAAAACTGCCAATGTGCTTACAATATGTTAATAACTTTAAACTGATTATAAAGAAGACATATTGGTTATTTAATATAAAAAATAAACATTTAAAATGCTTTACAATAGATTTCGTACTTTTAATAGATATGTCAACATTGTATATATATGAACAAAATGTAATTACCCCGGTAAGTAAACTGAGCTGTGTGTCAGTGTCTTGAAACTATATGTAGGTGTCTTGAGACTATATGTAGGTGTCTTGAAACTATATGTAGGTGTCTTGAAACTATATGTAGATGTCTTGAAACTATATATAGGTGTCTTGAAACTATATGTAGGTGTCTTGAGACTATATGTAGGTGTCTTGAAACTATATGTAGGTGTCTTGAAACTATATGTAGAAACTATATGTAGGTGTCTTGAAACTATATGTAGGTGTCTTGAAACTATATGTCAGTGTCTTGAAACTATATGTCGGTGTCTTGAAACTATATGTAGGTGTCTTGAAACTATATGTAGGTGTCTAGAGACTATATGTAGGTCTTTTGAAACTATATGTAGGTGTTGAAACTATATGTAGGTGTCTTGAAACTATATGTAGGTGTCTTGAAACTATATGTAGGTGTCTTGAAACTATTCTATTGTAAAATATTTGAAACAGGAATAGAAAACCTGTCCACCTTTAACCACAGGCAAACTGTAGCACATGTAGGGCTGTGGAACAGAGAGGAAAATGACCAGTCTTCTTATATGCCAGCAAAGCAGCAAATATTGGCAACATAATTCCCTTGCTTTGGTTAAAAAATATTTTTAATGTCAAAATAAAATATGGCCACTATCAAAGGTAGACACTCATTTCCTCACAGGGTTATGTTCTCAGATGTCCAACCTCCTATTTAATAATTACTCACGTAAAATATATTCCATTGGGTATATTAAGTGCCCAAAGGACATACCAAATTGTTCTTCACCTCCATTACCTCCTGCCAGCTTTAGGTTCAATGGAGTGAAGGAACAGGGGAATTAACTCTAAATATACTTGTTGAATCACATGTCACATTAGTGCCACTGTTTGACCACCATTTACTTTCTTGTATGCCTCACTAAAATAACTACTTGCGGAGTTACTCCCTTGCTTTCATCCACCCGCTATGTCAGAAGTGTTTTTTTATAGAACATATGTTTCGAAAATTCTGACAATAATTACGGCAGATAAGATGAATAATCTTGTACTGTTTGATGGTAAAATTAGGCAATGTGATGTTTCTTTTCAATTTTTGCTTATTCTTGTTCCTTCAATCCGTTAACCTGGAAGCTGCCAGGGGTAATGGATTCGAAGAACGATTTGATATGCCCCGAGTTCTATGGATATACAACTTATATTATTGTATTATGGTACATATGAGCGACATGTCGGTGTAGATACTTACTAACACTGTTATGAAGCAAGTGAGATATAATACTGTAGAAGAGGCTATATATATACACTCCTAAAAACAAGTAGGGAACTTCATTTTTAATTTACGATTGAAAAAATTTAGAGATATATCGGGAGTGAATCAATGTTGATATGATCAAATTGAAAATGATTATCTTATAGATTCATTTGATCTACTTGGTGCTACATATGTTGAATACTTTTACTTGATTTTATCAACGGGAATATTACCGGACGCATGGTTGACGGGCTCTGTCAGACCCATCTACAAAGGAAAGGGAGATAAATCAGACCCAAGCGCATATCGACCAATTACAATACTCAGCTGTTTCGGTAAGCTGTTCACAAGTATACTGAATAACAGACTTAACACTTTTCTTGAAATAAATAATGTATTAACCCCTGCCCAGGCGGGTTTTAGGAATGACCACTCAACAAATGATAACATCTTTGTAATGATTATGCTCAACCAATTACTAAAAACAAGTAAAAGAAAACTGTTTTGTGCCTTTATTGACTTCTCGAAAGCGTTCGATAATGTATGGAGGGTTGGGCTCTGGCATAAGCTACTTAACAATGGAATTAAGGGTAGGTAGATTTGTAACTCTTGTTCAAAATATGTATGCTAACATCAAATCGTGTGTACTATCAAACAATAATATGTCGGATTACTTCACATGCTACTCTGGCGTGCACCAAGGTGAAAACCTTTCCCAACTTTTGGTCTATTTATTCATAAATGACCTGGACGAATTCCTTACTAATGATGAAAATTTACAAGTCATAGAGAAGATTCATTTGAGTTTTCTTAAATTAATTATTGGTTTACGCTACTCTACCCCAAATTATATGGTATATGGAGAACTAGGGAGAGTTCCCCTTTATATATTAGCCGCTAAAAGGGTAATTTGTTACTGGTATAAGCTACATTCTGTTGGAACTACTCCAAAACTATCAAAATTGATTTATAATTATGCACTTATCCCAGGCGCTAGAGAAATGAATATGATATTTGGATCAAATATGTAAAAGGTATACTTGATAAATGTGGTCTATCTTATATATTTCATAACCCCGTAAATGTTTCATGCCAATGGTTAACTTCTCAGGTGGAATCAATCCTAAAAGATCAATTTTACCAAAGTTGGAAAGTTGAGATACCTGTTGAAGTTGGCCGTTGGCATGGCATTGATCGTGAAAACAGAACCTGCAATCTCTGTAAATCACCTGCTGTAGCAGATGAATTTCATTATTTATTTAAATGTGAAGCTTTTACTGAACAAAGAAAGAAATACATTCCCATTTCATACTTATCTTTCCCTAGTCTAATGACTTATTAAAAACATATTCCTGAAGGAAAACCTTGCACAATCAAAATATTTAGCAAAATACCTAAACCTAGTTGATACAAGTGTGAAAAAGACTAAAATGAGTATATTGTAAACTGTAACTATGCTGTATTATATTGTAAACTGTAACTATGCTGTATTTATATTGTAAAACTGTAATTGTACTTTCTGCCATCTTGCCTGTATGTATATGTATTGTAAATGTTTATAATGTTTCTCTTGTACCACCAAGAGTGGTTCTTTTGAGAATAAAAGAGTTTGAGTTTGAGTTTGAAATAATGAATGTTTTGAGAGTGAATCACCACTTGTACTTCCTTATGACCAAAGTTGTTTGTACAGTAATCGCTCTTGAAAGATGATTGGTGTATGGCGTGATATTTGCATGTGTACAATTGTCATTTTCAAACAAAAAACCCCGTCCAGAAACAAACACTGAAACAGAAACCAAAATGACACCCTATGCACGTGTATGGGGCTACTGCGTTGTTCATGTGCATCCCATGCATTGTGTTTAGGGATGGTGATAAAGAGAAATGGTTGTGTGTTCATAAGATGTCTGTCTTTGAAAAGTTTGATAATGCTTATACTTCTATCCAAATTGAAAGTTCAGGTTCCCCTACTTTTTTCTAAGAGTATACATGAGTAAAGTTTGAACAGTAAGTTGATTGATGTTTACACAATTAATAAGGTTGATGAACAAAATTGGAAGATGTTTACACAATTAATAAGGTTGATGAACAAAATTGGAAGATGTTTACACAATTAATAAGGTTGATGAACAAAATTGGAAGATGTTTACACACATTAATAAGGTTGATGAACAAAATTGGAAGATGTTTACACAATTAATAAGGTTGATGAACAAAATTGGAAGATGTTTACACAATTAATAAGGTTGATGAACAAAATTGGAAGATGTTTACACAATTAATAAGGTTGATGAACAAAATTGGAAGATGTTTACACAATTAATAAGGTTGATGAACAAAATTGGAAGATGTTTACAAAAAAATACAATTGTTACACAAGAAGAATTAACTAGTCAGAGATTAATGGGGCAATTCCGTGATAGACACAAGAATAATACGATTAAGATGCCTGCTGTAATGACCTATGTGATGCCTGCTGTAATGACCTACGTGATACCTGATGTAATGACCTATGTGATGCCTCCTGTAATGACCTATGTGATGCCTGCTGTAATGACCTACATGATACCTGATGTAATGACCTATGTGATGCCTGCTGTAATGACCTACATGATACCTGATGTAATGACCTATGTGATGCCTGCTGTAATGACCTATGTGATGCCTGCTGTAATGACCTACATGATGCCTGCTGTAATGACCTATGTCATACCTGATGTAATGACCTATGTGATACCTGCTGTAATGACCTATGTGATACCTGATGTAATGACCTACATGATGCCTGCTGTAATGACCTATGTGATGCCTGCTGTAATGACCTATGTGATGCCTGCTCTAATGACCTACATGATACCTGATGTAATGACCTATGTGATGCCTGCTGTAATGACCTACGTGATCCCTCCTGTAATGACGTACGTGATGCCTGCTGTAATGACCTACATGATGCCTGCTGTAATGACCTACGTATTGTCTGATGTAATGACCTACATGATGCCCTTCACTATGGTTTTAAGTTATGAGGATCTACAAATTATGACCTATTTCCAGACGCTGGCTACACTACTATCAGCCATCCCACTCACCAGCAAGGGACCTGCACAGATTATCATCTTTGACATCCATGCTCTCCAGGAAAGGTTTTACTTCTCTGATAATGTCATACCAAGGTAATTCCATCACACCTAACTCTGGTGATATGACCATATTAGATATGCAGAATTCAGTTGTATGTCTCATACAATATAGTGGTTATACCTACAGTGCAGATATAAGCTGTACATCACATACAGTATGGTTGTGACACCTACAGTGCAGATATAAGCTGTACATCACATACAGTATGGTGGTGACACCTACAGTGCAGATATAAGCTGTATATCACATACAGTATGGTGGTGACACCTACAGTGCAGACATAAGCTGTATATAACATACAGTATAGTGGTGACACCTACAGTGCATATATCAGCTGTATATCACATCCAGTATCGTGTTGACACATACAGTGCAGATATAAGCTGTATATCACATACAGTATGGTGTTGACAATGTGCAGATATAAGCTGTATATCACATACAATATAGTGGTGACACATACAGTGCAGACATAAGCTGTATATCACATCCAGTATAGTGGTGACACATACAGTGCAGATATAAGCTGTATATCACATACAGTATGGTGTTGACAAAGTGCAGATATAAGCTGTATATCACATACAATATAGTGGTGACACCTACAGTGCAGATATAAGCTGTATATCACATACAGTATGGTGTTGACAAAGTGCAGATATAAGCTGTATATCACATACAATATAGTGGTGACACCCACAGTGCAGATATAAGCTGTATATCACATCCAGTATAGTGGTAACACCTACAGTGCAGATATAAGCTGTATATCACATACAGTATGGTGGTGACACCTACAGTGCAGATATATGATGTATATCACATACAGTATGGTTGTGACACAGTGCAGATATAAGCTGTATATCACATACAGTATGGTTGTGACACAGTGCAGATATAAGCTGTATATCACATACAATATAGTGGTGACACCTACAGTGCAGATATAAGCTGTATATCACATCCAGTATAGTGGTGACACCTACAGTGCAGATATAAGCTGTATATCACATACAGTATGGTGTTAACAAAGTGCAGATATCAGCTGTATATCACATCCAGTATAGTGGTGACACCTACAGTGCAGATATAAGCTGTATATCACATCCAGTATAGTGGTGACACCTACAGTGCAGATATAAGCTGTTTATCACATCCAGTATAGTGGTGACACATACAGTGCGGATATAAGCTGTATATCACATCCAGTATAGTGGTGACACCTACAGTGCAGATATAAGCTGTATATCACATCCAGTATAGTGGTGACACCTACAGTGCAGATATAAGCTGTACATCACATACAGCATGGTGGTGACACCTACAGTGCAGATATCAGCTGTATATCACATACAGTATGGTGGTGACACCTACAGTGCAGACATAAGCTGTATATAACATACAGTATAGTGGTGACACCTACAGTGCATATATCAGCTGTATATCACATCCAGTATCGTGTTGACACATACAGTGCAGATATAAGCTGTATATCACATACAGTATGGTGTTGACAAAGTGCAGATATAAGCTGTATATCACATACAATATAGTGGTGACACATACAGTGCAGACATAAGCTGTATATCACATCCAGTATAGTGGTGACACCTACAGTGCAGATATAAGCTGTATATCACATACAGTATGGTGTTGACAAAGTGCAGATATAAGCTGTATATCACATACAATATAGTGGTGACACCTACAGTGCAGATATAAGCTGTATATCACATACAGTATGGTGTTGACAAAGTGCAGATATAAGCTGTATATCACATACAATATAGTGGTGACACCTACAGTGCAGATATAAGCTGTATATCACATCCAGTATAGTGGTGACACCTACAGTGCAGATATAAGCTGTATATCACATACAGTATAGTGGTGACACCTACAGTGCAGATATAAGCTGTATATCACATACAGTATGGTTGTGACACAGTGCAGATATAAGCTGTATATCACATACAGTATAGTGGTGACACCTACAGTGCAGATATAAGCTGTATATCACATACAGTATGGTTGTGACACAGTGCAGATATAAGCTGTATATCACATACAGTATAGTGGTGACACCTACAGTGCAGATATAAGCTGTATATCACATACAGTATAGTGGTGACACCTACAGTGCAGATATAAGCTGTATATCACATACAGTATGGTGTTGACAAAGTGCAGATATAAGCTGTATATCACATACAATATAGTGGTGACACCTACAGTGCAGATATAAGCTGTATATCACATACAGTATGGTGGTGACACAGTGCAGATATAAGCTGTATATCACATACAATATAGTGGTGACACCTACAGTGCAGATATAAGCTGTATATCACATACAGTATGGTGGTGACACCTACAGTGCAGATATAAGCTGTACATCACATACAGCATGGTGGTGACACCTACAGTGCAGATATAAGCTGTATATCACATACAGTATGGTGGTGACACCTACAGTGCAGACATAAGCTGTATATAACATACAGTATAGTGGTGACACCTACAGTGCATATATCAGCTGTATATCACATCCAGTATCGTGTTGACACATACAGTGCAGATATAAGCTGTATATCACATACAGTATGGTGTTGACAAAGTGCAGATATAAGCTGTATATCACATACAATATAGTGGTGACACATACAGTGCAGATATAAGCTGTATATCACATCCAGTATAGTGGTGACACCTACAGTGCAGATATATAAGCTGTATATCACATTCAGTATGGTGTTGACACAAGTGCAGATATAAGCTGTATATCACATACAATATAGTGGTGACACCTACAGTGCAGATATAAGCTGTATATCACATACAGTATGGTGTTGACACCAGTGCAGATATAAGCTGTATATCACATACAATATAGTGGTGACACCTACAGTGCAGATATAAGCTGTATATCACATCCAGTATAGTGGTGACACCTACAGTGCAGATATAAGCTGTATATCACATACAGTATGGTGGTGACACCTACAGTGCAGATATATGATGTATATCACATACAGTATGGTTGTGACACAGTGCAGATATAAAGCTGTATATCACATACAGTATAGTGGTGACATATGCAGATATAATAAGCTGTATATCACATACAGTATGCAGGGTTGTGACACCTACAGTGCAGATATAAGCTGTATATCACATCCAGTATAGTGGTGACACCTACAGTGCAGATATAAGCTGTATATCACATCCAGTATAGTGGTGACACATTCAGTGCGGATATAAGCTGTATATCACATCCAGTATAGTGGTGACACCTACAGTGCAGATATAAGCTGTATATCACATACAGTATGGTGGTGACACCTACAGTGCAGATATATGATGTATATCACATACAGTATGGTTGTGACACAGTGCAGATATAAGCTGTATATCACATCCAGTATAGTGGTGACACCTACAGTGCAGATATAAGCTGTATATCACATACAGTATAGTGGTGACACCTACAGTGCAGATATAAGCTGTATATCACATCCAGTATAGTGGTGACACATACAGTGCGGATATAAGCTGTATATCACATACAGTATGGTGTTGACAAAGTGCAGATATAAGCTGTATATCACATACAATATAGTGGTGACACCTACAGTGCAGATATAAGCTGTATATCACATCCAGTATATGGTGGTGACCTACAGTGCAGATATAAGCTGTATATCACATACAGTATGGTGGTGACACCTACAGTGCAGATATATGCTGTATATCACATACAGTATGGTTGTGACACAGTGCAGATATAAGCTGTATATCACATACAGTATGGTTGTGACACCTACAGTGCAGATATAAGCTGTATATCACATCCAGTATAGTGGTGACACCTACAGTGCAGATATAAGCTGTATATCACATCCAGTATAGTGGTGACACATACAGTGCGGATATAAGCTGTATATCACATCCAGTATAGTGGTAACACCTACAGTGCAGATATAAGCTGTATATCACATACAGTATGGTGGTGACACCTACAGTGCAGATATATGATGTATATCACATACAGTATGGTTGTGACACAGTGCAGATATAAGCTGTATATCACATCCAGTATAGTGGTGACACCTACAGTGCAGATATAAGCTGTATATCACATCCAGTATAGTGGTGACACCTACAGTGCAGATATAAGCTGTATATCACATCCAGTATAGTGGTGACACATACAGTGCGGATATAAGCTGTATATCACATCCAGTATAGTGGTGACACCTACAGTGCAGATATAAGCTGTATATCACATCCAGTATAGTGGTGACACCTACAGTGCAGATATAAGCTGTATATCACATCCAGTATAGTGGTGACACCTACAGTGCAGATATAAGCTGTATATCACATACAGTATGGTTGTGACACAGTGCAGATATAAGCTGTATATCACATACAGTATGGTTGTGACACAGTGCAGATATAAGCTGTATATCACATACAGTATAGTGGTGACACCTACAGTGCAGATATAAGCTGTATATCACATACAGTATGGTTGTGACACAGTGCAGATATAAGCTGTATATCACATACAGTATGGTTGTGACACAGTGCAGATATAAGCTGTATATCACATACAGTATAGTGGTGACACCTACAGTGCAGATATAAGCTGTATATCACATCCAGTATAGTGGTGACACATACAGTGCAGATATAAGCTGTATATCACATCCAGTATAGTGGTGACACATACAGTACAGATATAAGCTGTATATCACATCCAGTATAGTGGTGACACATACAGTGCAGATATAAGCTGTATATCACATACAGTATGGTTGTGACACAGTGCAGATATAAGCTGTATATCACATACAGTATGGTTGTGACACAGTGCAGATATAAGCTGTATATCACATACAGTATAGTGGTGACACCTACAGTGCAGATATAAGCTGTATATCACATACAGTATGGTTGTGACACAGTGCAGATATAAGCTGTATATCACATACAGTATGGTTGTGACACAGTGCAGATATAAGCTGTATATCACATACAGTATAGTGGTGACACCTACAGTGCAGATATAAGCTGTATATCACATACAATATAGTGGTGACACCTACAGTGCAGATATAAGCTGTATATCACATACAATATAGTGGTGACACCTACAGTGCAGATATAAGCTGTATATCACATACAGTATGGTTGTGACACAGTGCAGATATAAGCTGTACATCATATACAATGTAGTGGTGACACCTACAGTGCAGGTATAAGCTGTATATCACATACAGTATGGTTGTGACACAGTTCAGATATAAGCTTTACATCATATACAATGTAGTGGTGACACCTACAGTGCAGGTATAAGCTGTATATCACACACAATATAGTGGTGATGGTATCACATACAGTATATATGTCGGGCCAGTGTTTGATATCTGACCAGTGTTTGGTGTCTGGCCACTTTTGTCTGACCAGTGTTTGGTGTCTGACCACTGATTGATGTTTGACCTGTGTTTGATGTCTGACCACTGATTGATGTCTGACCTGTGTTTGATGTCTGACCACTGATTGATGTCTGACCTGTGTTTGGACTATGCTTGTCGTAAAAGGCGACTAACGGGATCGGGTGGTCAGTTTCACTGACTTGGTTGACACATTTCATCGGTTCCCAATTGGGCAGATCGATGCTCATGCTGTTGATCACTGGATTGTCTGGTCCAGACTCGATTATTTACAGACCGCCGCCATATAGCTGGGATATTGCTGAGTGCGGCGTAAAACTAAACTCACTCACTCACTCACAGACCTGTGTTTGATGTCTGACCACTGATTGATGTCTGACTTGTGTTTGATGTCTGACCAGTGTTTGATGTCTGACCTGTGTTTCATGTCTGACCTGTTTCATGTCTGACCACTGATTGATGTCTGACCTGTGTTTGATGTCTGACCAGTGTTTGATGTCTGACCTGTGTTTCATGTCTGACCTGTGTTTGATGTCTGACCACTGATTGATGTCTGACCTGTGTTTGATGTCTGACCAGTATTTGATGTCTGATCTGTGTTTCATGTCTGACCTGTGTTTCATGTCTGTCCACTGTTTGATGTCTGACCTGTCTTTGATGTCTGACCACTGTTTGATGTCTGACCTGTGTTTGATGTCTGACCTGTGTTTCATGTCTGACCACTGTTTGATGTCTGACGACTGTTTGATGTCTGACCTGTTTGATGTCTGACCACTGTTTGATGTCTGACCTGTCTTTGATGTCTGACCTGTGTTTGATGTCTGACCTGTTTGATGTCTCACCACTGTTTGATGTATTACCACTGTTTGATGTCTGACCTGTGTTTGATGTCTTACCAGTGTTTGATGTCTCACCTGTGTTTGATGTCTGACCACTGTTTGATGTCTGTCCTGTGTTTGTTGTCTGACCTGTGTTTGATGTCCGACCTGTGTTTGATGTCTGACCACTGTTTGATGTCTGACCACTGATTGATGTCTGACCACTGTTTGATGTCTGACCTGTGTTTCATGTCTGACCACTGTTTGATGTCTGACGACTGTTTGATGTCTGACCTGTGTTTGATCTGTGACCACTGTTTGATGTCTGACCTGTGTTTTAATGTCTGGCCTGTGTTTGATGTCTGACCACTGTTTGATGTCTGACCTGTGTTTGATGTCTTACCACTGTTTGATGTCTGACCTGTGTTTGATGTCCGACCTGTGTTTGATGTCTGACCACTGTTTGATGTCTGACCACTGATTGATGTCTGACCACTGTTTGATGTCTGACCTGTGTTTCATGTCTGACCACTGTTTGATGTCTGACCAATGTTTGATGTCTGACCTGTGTTTGATCTGTGACCACTGTTTGATGTCTGACCTGTGTTTTAATGTCTGGCCTGTGTTTGATGTCTGACCACTGTTTGATGTCTGACCTGTGTTTGATGTCTGACCACTATTTGATGTCTGACCTGTGTTTGATGTCTGACCACTGTTTGATGTCTGACCACTGTTTGATGTCTGACCTGTGTTTGATGTCTGACCTGTGTTTGATGTCTGACCACTGTTTGATGTCTGACCTGTGGTGTTTGATGTCTCACCTGTGTTTGATGTCTGACCGCTGTTTGATGTCTGACCAGTTTTTTATGTCTGACCACTGTTTGATGTCTGACCTGTGTTGATGTCTGACCACTGATTGATGTCTGACCACTGTTTGACGTCTGACCACTGTTTGATGTCTGACCTGTGTTTGATGTCTGACCACTGTTTGATGTCTGACCACTGTTTGATGTCTGACCAGTGTTTGATGTATGACCATTGTTTGATGTCTGACCTGTGTTTGATATCTGACCTGTGTTTGATGTCTGACCACTGTTTGATGTCTGACCTGTGTTTGATGTCTGACCTGTGTTTGATGTCTGACCACTGTTTGATATCTGACCTGTGTTTGATATCTGACCTGTGTTTGATATCTGACCACTGTTTGATGTCTGACCTGTGTTTGATGTCTGACCACTGTTTGATGTCTGACCTGTGTTTGATGTCTGACCTGTGTCTGATGTCTCACCACTGTTTGATGTCTGACCACTGTTTGATGTCTGACCTGTGTTTGATGTCTGACGACTGTTTAATGTCTGACCTGTGTTTGATGTCTGACCACTGTTTGATGTCTGACCTGTGTTTGATGTCTGACCACTGTTTGATGTCTGACCACTGTTTGATGTCTGACCACTCATTGATGACTGACCACTGTTTGACGTCTGACCACTGTTTGATGTCTGACCTGTGTTTGATATCTGACCTGTGTTTGATATCTGACCACTGTTTGATGTCTGACCACTGTTTGATGTCTGACCACTATTTGATGTCTGACCTGTGTTTGATGTCTGACCTGTGTCTGATGTCTCACCACTGTTTGATGTCTGACCACTGATTGATGTCTGACCACTATTTGATGTCTGACCTGTGTTGATGTCTGACCTGTGTTTGATGTCTGACCACTGATTGATGTCTGACCACTGTTTGATGTCTGACCACTGTTTGATGTCTCACCTGTGTTTGATGTCTGACCACTGTTTGATGTCTGACCACTATTTGATGTCTGTGATTTGATATTTCAGGCTTGATACAGCTATTCAGCTGTTGCAACGCGAGGTTGAGCGACTTGAGGACCGATCTAATCTTGCGTTTGCTTTCCCTGATGATGGGGCCTTCAAGCGCTTCCACCTTCACTTTGCTGGGGAACAGACCATCATTTGTGCCAAGATCCGTGACGGAGACAAGAAAATAGTGAAAGTTAAAGAAGGTACTGTCCTAAGTTCACTAAATCTGCTAAGAATACTCCTGACATATTTATTATTTATGGAAATTGCAAGATTAACGGAATGACAAATGACCATGTTTTATGGAAAGGTTGTATTCAAATATCACTCACTCACTGCCTCAATGCCTAGCTGATTTAAGCGATTTCGCAGTTTTTGTCAGACAAATGATGATGTGGAAGCCACTTTGTTTTAACACACTACTAGACATAAACGGATGAAGCTCTGGCCTATCAGCTTACAGTCGATTGATGACAATCACCATCTCTTGCAGTAACCCTCCATTATCCTGCATACCAAGCCATCTTTGAGCAGTTGTCAATTGAGGAAGCCCCTATATCTTCTTATCGACAATGAATTTTCCAAGTTATCAAGCTGTCAGAAGAGTTTACTGAAACTTGATACTTGCTTAATGAAGGGTACACACATTCCACATACAGCTTGACAATGCATTATGAGCTAAAATCTATGTAATTGGTGTCAGAAAGGTCAACATATTCATACAAACAAACATAATCATAATGACCATGATAAAAATAGCTAAGTGGGGTTAAAAACTCATTAGGTGTTTAGATACTTTTTCCATGTGTATGGAACAGACAAAAAGTGGTTAACATGTGTATGGAATCATATACTTTCAAACATCTCATAACATCTGTCTTCCAGGCAACCCTGAGGGCAAGCATGTGATCATCATTGATGACTTGGTCCAAACAGGTGGAACGCTGAAGGAGTGTGGGAAGGTATTATATTCTTACAGTGTGCTGTGGTGTAACTGTAATATTCTTACAGTCTCCTGTGGTGTAACTGTAATATTCTTACAGTCTGCTGTGGTGTAACTGTAATATTATAACTGTCTGCTGTGGTGTAACTGTAATATTGTTACTGTCTGCTGTGGTGTAACTGTAATATTATAACTGTCTGCTGTGGTGTAACTGTAATACTATAACTGTAACTAATATTATAACTGTCTGCTGTGGTGTAACTGTAATATTGTTACTGTCTGCTGTGGTGTAACTGTAATATTGTTACTGTCTGCTGTGGTGTAACTGTAATATTGTTACTGTCTGCTGTGGTGTAACTTAATATTATAACTAATAACTGTATAACTGTCTGTGGTGTAATATTGCTACTGTCTGCTGTGATGTAACTGTAATATTGTTACAGATTGCTGTGATGTACTGTAATATTGCTACTGTCTGCTGTGGTGTAACTGTAAAATTGTTACAGTATTCTGTGATGTACTGTAATATTGCTACTGTCTGCTGTGGTGTAACTGCTGTGGTGTAACTGTAATATTGTTACAGATTGCTGTGGTGTGTAACTGTAATATTGCTACTGTCTGCTGTGGTGTAACTGTAAAATTGTTACAGTATTCTGTGATGTAACTGTAATATTGCTACCGACATCTCCGGTATAACTGTAATACTGCTACTGCTTGCTCTGGTATAACTGTAATATTGCTAACGACTTCTCTGGTATAACTGTAATATTGCTAACAACTCTGCTGTGGTATAACTGTAATATTGCTACCGACTTCTCTGGTATAACTGTAATATTGCTACCGACTGCTGTGGTATAACTGTAATATTGCTACACACTGCTGTGGTCTAACTGTAATATTGCTACTGTCTTCTCTGGTATAACTGTAATATTGCTACAGCCTGCTGTGGTATAACTGTAATATTGCTACCGACTGCTGTAGTATATTTGTAATATTGCTACAGACCGCTGTGGTATAACTGTAATATTGCTACAGACTGCTGTGGTATAACTGTAATATTGCCACTGACATTATTGACTGACTGCTGTGATATAACTGTGATATTGATAAACATGCTACACACTGCTGTGGTATAACTGTAATATTGCTACTGACTTCTCTGGTATAACTGTAATATTGCTACAGCCTGCTGTGGTATAACTCTAATATACCAGAGAAGTCGGTAGCAATATTAAAGTTATACCAGTGAACAGTAATATTGTTACAGACTGCTGTGGTATAACTGTAATATTGCTACAGAGTGCTGTGGTGTAACTGTAATATTGCTACAGACTGATGTGGTATAATTGTAATATACCACAGAGACTGCTGTGGTATAATTGTAATATTGCTACAGACTGCTGTAGTATAACTGTAATATTGCTACCAACTGCTGTAGTATAACTTTAATATTGCTACAGACTGCAGTTGTATAATTGTAATATTGCTACAGACTGCTTTAGTATAACTGTAATATTGCTACAGACTGCTGTGGTATAATTGTAATACTGCTAGAGACTGTAATATTGCTACAAACTGCTGTAGTATAACTTTAATATTGCTACAGACTGCGGTTGTATAATTGTAATATTGCTACAGACTGCTTTAGTATAACTGTAATATTGCTACAGTCTGCTGTGGTATAACTGTAATATTGCTACGGACTGCTGTGATTTAGCTGTAATATTGCTACAGACTGCTGTGGTATAACTGTAATATTGCTACAGACTGCGGTTGTATAATTGTAATATTGCTACAGACTGCTTTGGTATAACTGTAATATTGCTACAGACTGCTGTGGTATAACTGTAATATTGCTACAGACTGCTGTGGTATAATTGTAATATTGCTACAGACTGCTGTGGTATAACTGTAATATTGCTACAGACTGCTGTGGTATAACTGTAATATTGCTACCGACTGCTGTAGTATAACTGTAATATTGCTACAGACTGCTGTGGTATAACTGTAATATTGCTACAGACTGCTGTGGTATAACTGTAATATTGCTACAGTCTGCTGTGGTATAATTGTAATACTGCTAGAGACTGTAATATTGCTACCAACTGCTGTAGTATAACTTTAATATTGCTACAGACTGCGGTTGTATAATTGTAATATTGCTACAGACTGCTTTAGTATAACAGTAATATTGCTACAGTCTGCTGTGGTATAACTGTAATATTGCTACAGACTGCTGTGATTTAGCTGTAATATTGCTACAGACTGCTGTAGTATAACTGTAATATTGCTACAGACTGCTGTTGTATAATTGTAATATTGCTACAGACTGCTGTGGTATAACTGTAATATTGCTACAGACTGCTGTGGTATAACTGTAATATTGCTACAGACTGCTGTGGTATAACTGTAATATTGCTACAGACTGCTGTGGTATAACTGTAATATTGCTACAGACTGCTGTGGTATAACTGTAATATTGCTACAGACTGCTGTGGTATAACTGTAATATTGCTACCAACTGCTGTGGTATAACTGTAATATTGCTACAGACTGCTGTGGTATAACTGTAATATTGCTACAGACTGCTGTGGTATAACTGTAATATTGCTGACTGACATTATTGCTGACTGCTGTGATATAACTGTAATATTGCTACATGCTACACTGCTGTGGTATAACTGTAATATTGCTACCGACTTCTCTGTGGTATAACTGTAATATTGCTACAGACTGCTGTGGTATAACTGTAATATTGCTAGAGACATGTGGTAGTGGTATATACCAGAGAACAGTAATATTGTTACAGACTGCTGTGGTATAACTGTAATATTGCTACAGAGTGCTGTGGTGTAACTGTAATATTGCTACAGACTGATGTGGTATAATTGTAATATTGCTAGAGACTGCTGTGGTATAATTGTAATATTGCTACAGACTGCTGTAGTATAACTGTAATATTGCTACCAACTGCTGTAGTATAACTTTAATATTGCTACAGACTGCGGTTGTATAATTGTAATATTGCTACAGACTGCTTTAGTATAACTGTAATATTGCTACAGACTGCTGTGGTATAATTGTAATACTGCTAGAGACTGCTGTGGTATAATTGTAATATTGCTACCGACTGCTGTAGTATAACTGTAATATTGCTACAGACTGCTGTGGTTTAACTCTAATATTGCTACAGACTGCTGTAGTATAACTAATAATGCTACCGACTGCTGTGGTAAATCTGTAATATTGCTACAGACTGCTGTGGTTTAACTGTAATACTGCTACAGACTGCTGTAGTATAATTGTAATATTGCTTCAAACTGCTGTAGTATAACTAATATTGCTACAGACTGCTGTGGTTTAACTGTAATATTACTACAGACTGCTGTAGTATAACAGTAATATTGCTACAGTCTGCTGTGGTATAACTGTAATATTGCTACGGACTGCTGTGATTTAGCTGTAATATTGCTACAGACTGCTGTGGTATAACTGTAATATTGCTACAGACTGCGGTTGTATAATTGTAATATTGCTACAGACTGCTTTGGTATAACTGTAATATTGCTACAGACTGCTGTGGTATAACTGTAATATTGCTACAGACTGCTGTGGTATAATTGTAATATTGCTACAGACTGCTGTGGTATAACTGTAATATTGCTACAGACTGCTGTGGTATAACGGTAATATTTCTACAGACTGCTGTGGTATAACTGTAATATTGCTACCGACTGCTGTAGTATATTTGTAATATTGCTACAGACCACTGTGGTATAACTGTAATATTGCTACAGACTGCTGTGGTATAACTGTAATATTGCCACTGACATTATTGACTGACTGCTGTGATATAACTGTGATATTGATAAACATGTACAAGACAGCTGTTATGTGGCTTCAAATTTCTTTATGTAACTGTGACTTAGCTATGGATTAATGTGACAGTAATATTGCAGACTGCTCTGATTTATGTGTGATATCGTTATGATTGCTATTACTGGGATATGGCTACCTTCAACTGTGATAAACTGAAATAATGTTATAAACTGACAGCTATACTATTGCTGTTGCTGCTACAGGTCTTGTGATAGTCCAAGTATATATCAAGTCCTACTATCATTGCTGCTGCTACAGGTTTTGTGATAGTCCAAGTATATATCAAGTCCTACTATCATTGCTGCTGCTATTGGTCTTGTGATAGTCCAAGTATATATCAAGTCCTACTATCATTGCTGCTGCTACAGGTGTTGTGATAGTCCAAGTATATATCAAGTCCTACTATCATTGCTGCTATAGGTCTTGTGATAGTCCAAGTATATATCAAGTCCTACTATCATTGCTGCTGCTACAGGTCTTGTGATAGTCCAAGTATATATCAAGTCCTACTATCATTGCTGCTGCTACAGGTGTTGTGATAGTCCAAGTATATATCAAGTCCTACTATCATTGCTGCTATAGGTCTTGTGATAGTCCAAGTATATATCAAGTCCTACTATCATTGCTGCTGCTACAGGTCTTGTGATAGTCCAAGTATATATCAAGTCCTACTATCATTGCTGCTGCTACAGGTCTTGTGATAGTCCAAGTATATATCAAGTCCTACTATCATTGCTGCTGCTACAGGTGCTGTGATAGTCCAAGTATATATCAAGTCCTACTATCATTGCTGCTGCTATAGGTCTTGTGATAGTCCAAGTATATATCAAGTCCTACTATCATTGCTGCTGCTACAGGTCTTGTGATAGTGATAGTCCAATATATCAAGTCCTACTATCATTGCTACTGCTACAGGTCTTGTGATAGTCCAAGTATATATCAAGTCCTACTATCATTGCTGCTGCTACAGGTCTTGTGATAGTCCAAGTATATATCAAGTCCTACTATCATTGCTGCTGCTACAGGTGCTGTGATAGTCCAAGTATATATCAAGTCCTACTATCATTGCTGCTGCTATAGGTCTTGTGATAGTCCAATTATATATCAAGTCCTACTATCATTGCTGCTGCTACAGGTCTTGTGATAGTCCAAGTATATATCAAGTCCTACTATCATTGCTGCTGCTACAGGTGCTGTGATAGTCCAAGTATATATCAAGTCCTACTATCATTGCTGCTGCTACAGGTCTTGTGATAGTCCAAGTACATATCAAGTCCTACTATCACTGCTGCTGCTACAGGTCTTGTGATAGTCCAAGTATATATCAAGTCCTACTATCATTGCTGCTGCTACAGGTCCTGTGATTGCCCAAGTATATATCAAGTCCTACTATCATTGCTGCTGCTATAGGTCTTGTGATAGTCCAAGTATATATCAAGTCCTACTATCATTGCTGCTGCTACAGGTCTTGTGATAGTCCAAGTATATATCAAGTCCTACTATCATTGCTGCTGCTATAGGTCTTGTGATAGTCCAAGTATATATCAAGTCCTACTATCATTGCTTCTGCTACAGGTCTTGTGATAGTCCAAGTATATATCAAGTCCTACTATCACTGCTGCTGCTACAGGTCTTGTGATAGTCCAAGTATATATCAAGTCCTACTATCATTGCTGCTATAGGTCTTGTGATAGTCCAAGTATATATCAAGTCCTACTATCATTGCTGCTGCTACAGGTCCTGTGATAGTCCAAGTATATATCAAGTCCTACTATCATTGCTGCTGCTATAGGTCTTGTGATAGTCCAAGTATATATCAAGTCCTACTATCATTGCTGCTGCTACAGGTCTTGTGATAGTCCAAGTATATATCAAGTCCTACTATCACTGCTGCTGCTACAGGTCTTGTGATAGTCCAAGTATATATCAAGTCCTACTATCATTGCTGCTATAGGTCAAGTTATGAAGTCATATCATTGTTGTTGCAGGTGTTACTGGGACGAGGAGCTGTTGCTATCAGTGCCTATGTCACTCATCCCGTGTTCCCCAACGAGTCATGGAAGAGATTTGTAGACACTGATGTTCCATTCAAGAACTTCTGGATCACAGACTCCATTCCACATGCAGTCGACATTGCACAGCATAAACCATTCAAACTTTTGTCCCTCTGTGATGTGGTGGCAGAGTCACTCCTGGGCTATGACCTCATGCCACAGTGACCTCAAGGTGCAGTGAAGCCACCAGAATACATCAATGACCTCAAGGCACAATGTTCACTGGAATGTATTTGTTATTGTGACAAGCTCATCTATGAGTGGGTCCAAATGATGTATTTACTGATGTGTACAGTTTCAACTGAGTTGTGTCATCTGCACAACTATGACAGTTGCTAGATACCGTACCAGGTCACACCAATACAATGTGTGGATATTAATTAGTTCAAAAAACCCATTCTCAGTATGACAGTAGTATTTTCAGTTTGTAGACATTGACAAGTGAGTCACCAGTAAATACAGATAACATTCACAGTACTGGGCCTCCCCACCTTGATTGTGACATTAAACACCATCTCCGATACCTGATATCAAGCAAGTGACATCCTCTTCATGTCCACTGGAGGCGGTGGGGTAGCCTAGTGGTTAAAGCGTTGGCTCGTCACTCCGAAGACCCGGGTTTGAATCCCCACATGGGTACAATGTGTGAAGCCCATTTCTGGTGTCCCCCGCTGTGATGTTGCTGGAATATTGCTAAAAGTGGCGTAAAACCATACTCAGTCAGTCAGTCAGTCATGTCCACTGTCTCAGTCACTCACACCAGTCCACTGGCTGTGTCACAAACAATGAATCCAACAGCTACATCACTCACATAGAGTCCACTGGCTCAATCACTCACATAGAGTCCACTGGCTCAATCACTCACATAGAGTCCACTGGCTCCACCACACACACCAAATATATTGGCTCCACCACTCACATCAAATTCACTGGCTCCGCCACATGCATCAAATATATTAGCTCACTTTACACACATCAAATCCACCAGCTCCATCATACACATTGAGTCCACTGGCTCCATCTGCTAAAAGAATAATAAAAGTGTGTTATACATAAGATGCAAGTAATTATAATACTTACCTAATCAGACAACGTTTTGTAGGAATGGTTTCTACTTATTTGTTGATATTTATTTGTGAAAAGTTCTTTAAATAAAATATATCAATAAAGATCCTTTGTTGTGTTGGCTTTGTTCATGTCAGATGAGGAAGTTCAACAGGATCAACCTCCCGTGACAAGCCGTGAAGTCCAGACCTGCTGTAACCTTCCTTGGCAGGATAAACCAAGGCTGCAGTAACCACATACTGGGTAGATTCCTGCACAGGATAAAGCAAGGCTGCAGTAACCATATACTGGGTAGATTACTGGGCAGGATAAACCACGGCTGCAGTAACCATATACTGGGTAGATTACTGGGCAGGATAAACCAAGTCTGCAAAAAACATATACTGGGTAGATTCCTTGGCAGGATCAACCAAGGCTGCAGTAGCCATATACTGGGTAGATTCCTTGGCAGGATAAACCACGGCTGCAGAAACCATATTCTTGGCAGGAAAAACCAAGTCTGCAAAAAACATATACTGGGTAGATTCCTGGGCAGGATCAACCAAGTCTGCAGTAACCATATACTGCGTAGATTCGTGTGCAGTCTAAACCAAGTCTGCAAAAACCATATACTGGGTAGATTCCTGTGCAGGATAAACCAAGTCTGCATTAGACATATACTGGGTAGATTCCTGGGCAGGATAAACTAAGTTTGCAGTAGGCATATACAGGGTAGATTCCTTGCTGGATAAACAGGATGTACATAAGTAGATTCCTGCAATAGGATAATAAGTCTGCAGTAGGCATGTACTGGGTAGATTCCTAGGCAGGATAAACCATGGCTGCAGTAACCATATACTGGGTAGATTCCTTGGCAGGATAAACCACGGCTGCCGTAGAAAAATACTTGGTAGATTCCTTGGTATGATAAACCAAGTCTGCAAAAACCATATACTGGGTAGATTCCTAGGCAGGATAAATCAAGGCTGCACTAACCATATACTAGGTATATTCCTGGGCAGGCTGCAGTAACCATATACTGGGTAGATTCTGGGCAGATTAAACCAAGTCTCAGTAACAATATAGGTAGATTTACTGGGCAGGATAAACCAAGGCTGCAGTAGCATTATGCCGGGTAAATTCCTTGGCAGGATAAAGCACGGCTGCAGTAACCATATACCGGGTAAATTCCAGGGCAGGATGAACCATGGCTGCACTAACCATATACTGGGTGTGTCCTTGGGCAGGATAAACCAAGGCTGAAGTAACCATATACTTGGTAGATTCCTGGGCAGGATAAACCAAGTCTCAGTAACAATATACTTGGTAGATTTACTGGGCAGGATAAACCAAGGCTGCAGTAACCATATACTGGGTAAATTCCTGGTCAGTGTAAACCAAGTCTGCAAAAACCATTTACTGGGTAGATTCCTAGGCAGGATAAACCAAGGTTGCAGTAACCATAACACAAGTAGATTCCAAGGCAGGATAAGCCAAGTCTGCAGTAACCATATAATGAGTAGCTTCCTGGGCAGGATAAAGCAAGGCTGCAGTAACTATATACTGGGTAGATTTATGTGCACGATTAACCAGGGCTACAGTAACCCTATACTGGGTGTCCCTGGGCAGGATAAACCAAGTCTGAAGTAACCATATACTGTGTAGTTTTCTGAGCAGGATAAATCAAGGCTGCAGTAACCATATACTGTGTAGTTTTCTGAGCAGGATAAATCAAGGCTGCAGTAACCATATACTGTGTAGTTTTCTGAGCAGGATAAATCAAGGCTGCAGTAACCATATACTGGATAGATTCCTAGACACGATAAACCAATTCTGCAGTAACCATATACTGGGTAGATTCCTGGGCAGGATAAACCAAGTCTGCAGTAACAATATACTGGGTAGATTCCAGGATGGGCAGGCTGAAATAGTCATATACTGCAGTAACAATAGTAACCATATACTGGGTAGATTCCTGAGCAGGATAAACCAAGGCTGCAGTAACCATATGCTGGGCATATACTGGATAGATGCAGTAACCATATAATGGGTATTATAGGCACGATAACCAAGTCTGCAGTAACCATATACTGGGTAGATTCCTGTCAGGATAAACCAAGGCTGCAGTAACCATATACTGGGTAGATTCCTTGGCAGGATAAACCAAGTCCTGCAGTAACCATATAATGGGTAGATTCATAGGCACGATAGACCAAGTCTGCAGTAACCATAAACTGGGTAGATTCCCTGTCAGGATAAACCAAGGCTGCAGTAACCATATACTGGGTAGATTCCCTGTCAGGATAAACCAAGGCTGCAGTAACCATATACTGGGTAGATTCCTTGGCAGGATAAACCAAGGCTGCAGTAACCATATACTGGGTAGATTCATAGGCACGATAGACCAAGTCTGCAGTAACCATAAACTGGGTAGATTCCAAGACAGGATAAACCAAGGCTGCAGTAACAATATACTGGGTAGATTACTGGGCACGATAAACCAAGGTTTCAGTAGCCATATACTGGGTAGATTCCTGGGCAGTGTAAACCAAGTCTGCAAAAAACATATATTGGGTAGATTCCAAGACAGGATAAACCAGGGCTGCAGTATCCATATACTGGGTAGATTCCTTGGCAGGATAAGCCAAGGCTGCAGCAACCAGATGTAGGGTAGGTTTCTGCGTAGGATAAACATATATGCTGGGCAGATTCCTTGGCAGGATAAACCAAGTTTGCATTAACCATAAACTGGGTAGATTCCTGGGTATGATAAACCAAGGCTGCAGTAACCATATACTGGGTAGATTCCTGGGCAGGATAAACAAAGGCTGCAATAACCATATACTGGGTAGATTACTGGGCAGGATAAACAAAGGCTGCAATAACCATATACTGGGTAGATTCCTGGGCAGGATAAACCAAAGGCTGCAATAACCATATACTGGGTAGATTCCATAAACCAAGGCTGCAGTAACCATATACTGGGTAGATTACTGGGCACGATAAACCAAGGTTTCAGTAGCCATATACTGGGTAGATTCCTGGGCAGTGTAAACCAAGTCTGCAAAAAACATATATTGGGTAGATTCCAAGACAGGATAAACCAGGGCTGCAGTATCCATATACTGGGTAGATTCCTTGGCAGGATAAGCCAAGGCTGCAGCAACCAGATGTAGGGTAGGTTTCTGCGTAGGATAAACCAAGGCTGCAGTAACCATATGCTGGGTAGACTCCTGGGTATGATAAACCAAGGCTGCAGTAACCATATACTGGCCTGGGCAGGATAAACTTGGCAGGAACCATAAACTGGGTAGATTTCTGTGCAGAGTAAACCAAGACTGCATTAACCATATACTGGGTAGATTACTAGATTCCTGGGTAGAATCTTGGGCAATATAAACCAAGGCTGCAGTAACCATATACTGGGTAGATTCTGGGCAGGATAAACCTGTAGTAACCAAGGAGATTCCAAGGCAGGATAAACCAAGCAGTAACCATATACTGGGTAGAATCCTAGGCACAATAAACCAAGTCTGCAGTAGATTTCCTGGGTGGATAAACCAAGGCTGCAGAGTAAACCAAGACTGCAGTAACAATATACTTGGTAGATTACTGGACAGGATAAACCAAGGCTGCAGTAACCAGATACTGGGTAGATTATCTTGGGCAATATAAATCGAGTCTGCAGCAATATAAATCGAGTCTGCATAACCTGGGGTAGGTTTCTGGGCGGGATAAACTAAGGCTGTAGTAACCATTTCCTAGGAGATTCCAAGGCAGGATAAACCAAGCCTGCACTAACCATATACAGGGTAGAATCCAGGCACAATAAACCAAGTCTGCAGTAACCATATACAAGGTAGATTCCTGGGTAGGATAAACCAAGGCTGCAGTAACCATATACTGGGTAGATTCCTGGGCAGGGTAAAGCAAGGGTGCAATATTTATATTGTTGGTAGATTCCTTGGCAGGATAAAGAAAAGCTGCAGTAACCATATACTGGGTAGATTCCTGTGCAGGGTAAACCAAGTCTGCATTAGCAATATACTTGGTAGATTACTGGGCACGATAAACCAAGGTTTCAATAGCCATATACTCGGTAGATTCCTGGGCAGTGTAAACCAAGTCTGCAAAAAACATATATTGGGTAGATTCCTGGGCATTATAAACCACGTCTGCAGTAACCATATACTTCGTAGATTCCTGGACAGGATAAACCAAGGCTGCAGCAACCATATACTGAGTAGATTACTGGACAGGATAAACCAGGGCTGCAGTAACCATATACTGGGTAGATTACTGGACAGGATAAACCAGGGCTGCAGTAACCATATACTGGATTACCGTAAACCAGGGCTGCAGAACCATATACTGGGTAGATTACTGGACAGGATAAACCAAGTCTGCAGCAACCATATACTGAGTAGATTACTGGACAGGATAAACCAGGGCTGCAGTAACCATATACTGGGTAGATTCCTTGGCAGGATAAGCCAAGGCTGCAGGAACCAGATATAGGGTAGGTTTCTGCGTAGGAAAAACCAAGGCTGCAGTAACCATATGCTGGGCACATTCCTAGGCAGGATAAACCAAGTTTGCATTAACCATAAACTGGGTAGATTCCTGGGCAGGATAAACCAAGGCTGCAGTAACCATATACTGGGTAGATTCCTGTGCAGAGTAAACCAAGTCTGCAGTAACAATATACTTGATAGATTACTGGGCAGGATAAACCAAGGCTGCAGTAACCAGATACAGGGTAGAATCTTGGGCATTATAAATCAAGTCTGCAGTAACCATATACTGGGTAGGTTTCTGGGCAGGATAAACTAAGGCTGCAGTAACCATTTCCTAGGGAGATTCCAAGGCAGGATAAACCAAGCCTGCAGTAACCATATACAGGGTAGATTCCTAGGCACAATAAACCAAGTCTGCAGTAACCATATACTGGGTAGATTCCTGTGCAGAGTAAACCAAGTCTGCAGTAACAATATACTTGATAGATTACTGGGCAGGATAAACCAAGGCTGCAGTAACCAGATACAGGGTAGAATCTTGGGCATTATAAATCAAGTCTGCAGTAACCATATACTGGGTAGATTCCTGGGCAGGGTAAACCAAGTCTCA